ACTGGAGGATACCAAACGTCTTCTTCAAGTGATCAACCGACCGCTACATTGGTTACTAACTATTGAGGGTAGTCACTCATGTCCAAGGTGAGAGACCGACGAAGTTCAATGGTTCTGTTTTCAAGAGGTGGCAGCAAAGGATGTTTTACTACCTCACAACTCTCTCCCTCTCTTGTTTACTTTCGGAGGACTCTTTGATCGTCCCCGAAAATGAGACTAACGTCCAAAAACGTATGGTTTTGGATGTTTAGCATCATAGTGATTTCTTGTGTAGAAATCTAATACTTAACGAACTAGAAAAGACATTATATAATGTGTATAGCCCGGTTAAGACGTCTAAGGAGTTGTGGAACTCTTAGAAATCAACGTACAAAATGAAAGATAACGACACTAAAACTTTTGTCGGTTAATTCCTTTAGTACATGATTAACACAAAGTTGGTGGTTAATCAAGTTCAAGAGATTCAAATCATCCTTTAGGATATGCTGGCCTATGGAGTGATTGTGAACGAAGCCTTTCAAGTGGCGGCTATTGTTGGAAAGTCGTCTCCTTTGTGGAACGACTTCAAGAAGTTATCTCATGCATAGATGCAAAGAAATGAAACTCGAGGGTTTGATAGATGGTCTTTGGATAAAATAAAATAATTGAAAATCTGAAGTATTGGTTAAATGGAGCAAGCTAGAGGCTAAGGCAAACTTGGCCGAGCCGAGCTCGTGTAAGAAGTGTAGAAACACTTTTCATGGCAAACCGAAATGGGACGCCTAGAAGTCCAAGGGATGTTGTTACGGTGGTGACAAACCCGGGTATCTTGTCGAAGTTTACTAACTTCTGAAGAAGGGTAAAGGATAGTGCGAATTGTCGAGGACAAGATAATACTTGTCAGAGCTCGATCTTTCTGTCGTGGTTCCAGTACATACTTGATTAAAATTCCACGTTTATAGCGGATAAGAACAAGAGCCACTTGACCCATAGGTGCTTATAAATGTTGTCCTACAACCCTACTACGGAAGGAAGTATTTTTGGAATTCCTTGACTTCAAATGTTGAAGGAAATGATGAGGTAGTGTGCTAAGAATGAATATTGGAGATCGTGGATGTTCTTCGTGCCCAAGACATCCATAAGAATCTAATTTTTGGACCATTAATTGAGTAAGGCCGGATTTAGATTAGCTTATGATCATCAACAAATATGTTATGTCGAAATATGATGTATTCTTAGCATAAGTAGACCTTAATAAAGGTCATCTTACAATTATTGTAAAATTGTAATCACTGGTTGATGAAAAGATAAATAAATTGGTCTTATTTATTGAGTGTTCTAATTTATGGCATGATGAATTAGTACTTGTGAATTTTAACACTAGAAGTTGGTGAATCTAAGTTGATTCATACAACAAATATGAAAAGTGTGTTAAAATGAAAAAGTGACAAAAGCATCGTATGAAATGATTGCTTAATTGACTAGTCCTCTCGAGATAAGTCACACCAGTAAATGTGATTTAAGAGTTTGTGCAAACTCGAGGCGAAAATAAGAAAGCCCAATGTATTGTCATAAAGCTTTTGTAGCTTTAAGTCACATGTGAATGATGTTGATATTCAATGAAATAGTAGAAAGAAATATTCACTCTTTAGTAGGTGATAATTCTTATTGGTAAGCTTGAATTTAAGCTAAATACTTATGTGAGAAGTAGTTATTTCGACAAAATTGCAAACACCTCACGAAGGTAGATACGGAACTCCGTTTGAGTTATAAAAAGAGCAAAAGCATTCGTATCTATACCTTAAAATGTGGGTGTTTGGGTATAAAAAGCACCGCACGAAGGTAGATATGAAACTCCGTTTGAGTTATAGAAAGAGCAAAAACATTCGTACTTATACCTTGAAATGTGGGGGTGTTTGAGCCAAGGTAGAAATACCTAATTAATGACATGAAAAGTTTGTTGAAACAATTTGTCGAATGGTTCAAATTCATTGAATGACAATATGGGTCTATGAAGGTTCTTCCAACTCTTTGTGATCATAAGTCTTATGTAGAAAATATGATGATCTTGGAATATAATCATGATATGCTCATGAATACCAAGAAAAATAAACTTTGACATTTAAAGTTTGTGAAATTCCGATATAATTTTGGAGATTAAGTTTCTAATAGATCGGAAATAATTATTTGACACACAATCTCATCATGTCAAATGTATGTTGAAAAGATTCGATGTGTTCGATAAAACCTCAAGCTAAAGTGTATGTAAAATTGAATCTACACTTAGCTAAGAATTCAAGAATAATTAGTTTGTCGGCGAAAATATGTTGAATAATTGTAGGCTTGAGGTACTTGTCGGATAGTAATCGCCTCAATGTTGCATTTAAGCAAGCAAACTAAGATGTTCATGAGTAACTCGAGCGATGAATTTTGATCATGCTGAATAGAGTATTAGACATGAAAAACTCTAAGACAAAAAGTGACTACGTGTTCACTTTAGGTGGGTAGAGTTGTGTCATGAAAATTATCGTAGTATAAAGCTAGATCCTCAATGATGTCCGGATTTATAAATTTGGACTAAAGGCGTGGAAGAAGGTAATGACTTAGAAATTTTCTAAAAGATATTCCTAGGTGGAATAAATTGTGCTCATGGAGATGATTATTTATCAATCAACAATTGGAAGAGCACAAAGTAGTTTGTACAATAGTAAGTCTAGACATAGATGTCGGAGACTTAATTTCAGTAACAAAATTATCTCGTGTGGGGGTTATATCGGTTGACTATATGTAGTCAAAGATAAACCTAACGGATCCGTTTACAAAAAGCATGAAACGAGATAAATTGTACAAACTGGTTAGGAGAATGAGCTTAATAAAAATCCTCAACGAACGAACGGTCTTAGCGGTAACCCAACCATGAGAATCGGAGATCCCGAAACCTCGGTTCAATGGAAAAACTAAGTTTTGACAGTTCAGTGAAACACTTGAAAATTTTTGCTCATTTCTAGAACCGTCAAGCGTTAAAATCTGCCTAAGTAGTGAGGCTAAGTCAAGGACTTTTAATGTAAGAAAAAATTGGTTTTGTACCGATTTAACGCTCCTACTTTTCGTAAGTAGAAGACTTAGAAAATTCTCAAAACCTTTTTAAGGTGAATGAGAAATTAATTCTGAGTGTTATATGTTAATTAATTGAGTTCAAACAACTCAAAGGTTGTAGGGTTCACAAACATTCTGTTTTGACGAACTAAACGAGCCATAATTATGCATTATGTATTCTAGAATTGTAGAAGGGCTAGTTGGGGCGAGTAGGAAAAAACGAAACTCGATTCCGAGTCCGTATGAGCTCGTACGAGCCCGCGGCGCACGGGCGCTCAACTGGCTGCGGAAATCAAAAAGTCGCAACCCTTGGTGACCATAAGGTATCTTTTGGCCACTAGATGCATCCGTTCTCGTTCGGGGACGTCCCAAAAGGTGTCTTTTGACACTTAAACCTCTTGGAGGTGTTTTCCTACATCTATAAATACCCACATACTTGAAATCATTAAAAACATGAAAATTAGAAAGCTCTTGCATTACTTTTCAAAGATCATATAACATATTGCGTTCTTTGATTTTTTCATTGAGTCTTGAGAGTTCCAAAAAATAGTAGTGTTCGCCGAAGGCATGTATATTTGGAGTACCACTATATACAAGTCGAAAGTCGTTGTATCTTGGAGGCGTTTGCTGTTAACCGTGGGTATTTTACGGAGCAATTTCGTCTTAAGGAGAATGTAACTACTACGTGCCTCGACTTTGATTTTGTTTCGTTTTCTTCATTCTCCTTAAGCCGTCTTTTTGATATTCACAAACCACAAATATACTATAGAAAAAAGGTAAGTCCAATTACATATGAATGAACAAAATTAGATTGGTTGTTTTTGTTATCATACTCTCAAAACAACAATGTAGAAAAGCTCTCAGTAGCTATGAATCTTCACCTCATACCACCACAAACAATCAATAGGTACTTGTGTTATAGTTGCATACTCATCTCTTTAGTAAAAATTATTTTAATATGCATTTCCAACTTTCCTTCATTCAACTATTATACGTCTACATTTTTCTCACAAAAATACAAAATTATCAAATATGAGAAATGAGTTTATCCCAAATCCACAAATCATCTAAAAAAACAACATCACCACTTTCCCCTTTATATATTAATGCATAATATCTCGATCCTACATGTCGATTTTGGTGATTCGTAATTATATGAGTTTAGTTTGGAGTAGTAAAAGTAGATATCGACTTGTTGTATATAAAGACTTTCAAAATTACAACACACTTGAACAACTTAACTACAAATATACTTTAAAAGTTAATGACTTTCGTAATTGTTACTGAATTTTTATATATAATATATAAAATTAATCTTCTCATTACGAGCTTCGATTTACATTTTATAATATTATTGTTATTTGGTGGATGCATTTTATATAAATATTTGTCATCTCATTTATATCTTTGAGTTTAGGTCCACTACTAAGACCCTAAAACAAATTTATGACTTGAATCATTGTTGTGGAAGCTTAGGATATATTTTTTCATTAAAAAACTCAATTCATACTCAATCAATACTCAAAATTTAATTCAATATTAACTCGACTTTATTATCCTTAACATTATCAATATAACTAAATAATATCAGTTAATCGTTCTTACATATCATATCAACTTTTAACCACTCACATGATTTTAATCAACAATCACTTTTCACTTCATATCATCAATCTCGTACTTTTACATCAAATCAACTTTAATTATTTTATTTTAAATATTATTTTAATATAAACTCAACATTCCACTAACTTAACTATATATATATATATATTTTAAGAAAATAAACATTGTTAACTAAAAAAAAAAAATTTTAATTGGATATATTTGTATCCAAACACGCCCTTATTTATCTTGAGTACCGTTCCAATAATAGAATGAAATAAAAGTAACGGGGCCAAATGAGGAATACGCAGAACTCGGTAGGCACAACCGTAAAACGCAGCAACAAACTTTGTTTCATACTTCCTTTTTCCACTTCCATTTTTGCTTCAAATGCTACACAGTCGGAAGCAACCGTTCTGCTGATAATCCAAAAATTTCTGCTCACTCCCAAATGCCCAACCGAATGACCTTATTCGGAAACCCTAGCTTGAATCGTATCTGAATTTGGACTAGCTAATCTGTAATCTCCTCGATGAAAATGGACTAGCTAACCTCTTTACATGGCAAATCCTCATACATTGGCGGCTAGCCCGAGTAATCTCTACCTGTGCATAGAAAGAAGCAACAGGTTTATGTGCTGGGACGCCGTTGGTGCTCTATCCAAAGCAAGAGGCCACGGGAAGAAGAAGAAATTCGTGCTTAGAGAGGATCTCAGTGGGTGCGGAAAGAGGGTTTCTCCGGCGGGGCAGTCGTGGAGGTTGTGTGCTGCGGCGGAGCTTCATGTTGTTCAGGAGAACTCCGGCAAAAGTATTAGTGTGCAGAAGCAGGTGTTGTTTATTGAAATTCCCGTCACGTGCTACCAGGTTAATGTCTTTGCCCTGTTCATTTTACTGCGCCCCTTTTGAGGTTGCTTATGTAGGTTTATCACAGTTTGTATTTGTCATCTAATTGCATTTGAGTTATGAGGCCTGGTTTTGATTGATGTGAGTGATAGAAGATTCTTTGTTATGGTGTAACATTTACCCTTTCAAGTCCAATCTCCTGGCTCTGGAAAGAGTGTAGAGTAGTAGACGGTGGCCCGGATAAAGAATTTAAAACTAACAGCACCTTAAACTGGGAATCCTTATTTTGTTATTATTATAGAGATTTATATTGCTGACTGAACTTACAATGATTTGTGTGAAATCAATCACCAGATAGTGTGATGTATGGAGCAGTTCACTTTCACATGACCCACGTGTGCCTTTTTCTTTTACAAGAATGGTTCCAAATTGTCGAGGGGATTTTTTTTTCTTCTATGAATTCTACATTAATTTAACATGTTCACTCTTCACTTCACCTAATATTAATAATTTGTTTTTTCTCAATACAAAGTTTATTTATGAGTGCCTTGTCATCATAAATGTTTGTTGATCTATTTTGCTCCAGCTTGGTATACGTTTATTTTTGTTCATTGAAGGGAAGACGCTGACATTGTTGATAATAAACATAATATACATATATATGTATTACATACATATATGTGTGTGTGTGTGTATGTATATATATATGCATGTTATATTGGTTAATGTTATTATGACACCAAAATGTTTTTCTCTCAAGTTCTCCAGATATAGTAGACCATAAAGTCTATAGTCTGAAAGTGAGATGGCATTACCTGAAAATGCAGCTAGGATTACACCATCATGAATAAAAATCCTAAATGGTTTAGATTTTATCCATAAACAAACACTAGTAACTCCAAATCATGTACTGAAAACTTTGGTTCGGGTTCATTCATTGTAATGCACAGAACTCAAGAATTTTGTCGTTATTAGTTATGCATTGAAGTACTCTAGAAGCAGCTGCCTTGATGTTTCTTATACCCTGTTAAAGTTTGGGCGGAGAGTTTCAAAACATTCAATAATTGAATTTTTTTCCTCACTTTGATTTGTTCATTGATTTGCATAAATTAGTTTGTTTTGCTGGTGTTATCGGGATTTCTGGATGTCATGATTTCTCATTTTAGTCCGAGTCCCTTCAGATGCCATAAGGTACCGAGCAAAACCATTTTGAAATACACTTCTCTAATATGAAATATGGTTCCGCTTAGTAAAGACGAGTGTTGCAGGGGAATAGGTTTTGAGAATCACATGAATTAGAATACGTAGATCCTAAAACTTGGTTTTGATGGTGATCAACTTATCATATGCTGCTGATTAAGAATTTATCTATCTCTCCTCAGTTCCTGTCTTTTGATGACTTATGATTTTAGATCATCGGTATCCATGATCAAGCAGAGAAAGATGAGATCGTTAAGTCAGTGATGCATCTAAAAAATGCAGAGATTGAAGAGGGATACACCAAAGATGCTGTTATATCTCGCCAGGTAGAATATAATCATGAGGATTTCTTTTGTTAGTTCCTAATTATTAATTCTTTGTAGCATACTCGATGGATAATTATTTCTTGAGTTCTTTTTACTTGTTACTGGTGCTCCTTTATTACTGCTTCAACAATTATCCCTTCTGCTTCCTCAGGATCTTCTAGTGGATGTGAGAGATAAACTTCTTTTTGAGCCAGAATATGCTGGAAATTTCAAAGATAAGCAGCCTCCTAAATCTTCTCTTAAAATTCCTTGGGCTTGGTTGCCTGGTGCTCTCTGTCTTCTTCAGGAGGTTAGCTTGGCGATCACTTAGATGTTTAATTTTAATTTTTTTTTTTTTTTTTTGTNTGGATATGTATTAAATGATTATAGTAAGGCAACATCAATTTTCTTATGTTACAGCATATCCGCTTTTGCATCATCTCATTCGTCTGTTGTTGCCATAAGGATCTGCAAGCACTATTTCTTCCACCTTTGATAGGAATATGCAGTAGTGTAAATCTTTCCCTGATTCTGCAGTTGATGCACTTAAGTTAATTTATATAGGTTGGAAATGAGAAGCTTGTGTTAGAAATTGGTCGAAAAGCACTTCAACATCCAGAATCAAAGCCATTTGTTCATGATTTGCTTTTATCCATGGCACTTGCAGAGGTAAGATGAAAATGAAGAGGTCAGAATGTTCATCTAGTTTTTCCTGGCAGTTTTGTTATGCTTCTTTTTCTTATTTTAGTTGTTTTCTTGAAGTGTGCAATTGCTAAATGTGGCTTTGAGAAGAACAATATTGCTCTTGGATTTGAAGCCCTTGCTCGTGCTCAATGTCTTCTCCGCAGCAAAGGTTCTCTAGGGAAGGTGACACTGCTGTCACAGGTAACCATCAGTTTAGTAGCATGGGCTTGAATAAGCTTTTACCAAATCCCTCTTTCTGGTCCAATAGACGAAATGGTAGGTTGTACGGAAATGGTTGAGTTTGTAAACTGAAGAAAATCTAGAAAGCATGAATTAGATGGTCAAGATTTTGTTCAGATCGAGTTGGCATGTCCTGATTAATTGATGGGATTAAGAATGCCATAGCAATGATGGTTGTTAAGATCATAACTTGTGCAAGTCTTCTTATCTTTTTAAGAAGGAAATAGAACAGACGAAAACCAAACATGTACATAATTCACCTCGTTCCTAAGGTCATGTGTCCAGACTCCTCTTGGTTTCCTTGATGGGCCTGCAAATTCGAAATTTTCAAATGCTATATCTGATGGTCCCAAATTTGGTTGTGTGCTTGTTTACTTGTTCTTCGGTGAATGATAGCTTACTACTCAAATTAGTTCGATGTTGATTTCAGATAGAAGAATCGTTGGAAGAGCTTGCTCCAGCCTGTACTTTGGACCTTTTAGGAATACCTCATACGCCTGAAAATGCTGAACGAAGACTTGGAGCAATTGCAGCTCTGCGTGAATTGTTGAGACAAGGCCTGGATGTTGAAACTTCGTGTCAAGTTGAAGACTGGCCTTGCTTTCTGAGTCAAGCACTCAGAAAGCTTATGGCTACTGAAATAGTCGAACTCATATCATGGGATACTTTAGCTCTTACAAGGAAAAATAGAAAGTCGCTTGAGTCGCAGAATCAGAGGGTTGTCATTGATTTCAATAGCTTCTATGTGGTTTTGTTAGCTCATATTGCCCTTGGATTTTCAAGCAAGCAAACTGAGCTGGTAATATCTCTTGTTGATTACCTTGTAACAATTGAAATATTTGATTTCTTAATCACAATTCACTTTTTGGAAACTCAGTATTTTACTTCTTTGAATTGCTGTTCTGTTCAGGAATCCGCGTTTCATGCTTCTAGAATTGCATGCATAAAAAGGATGTTGGTTCATTTTCATTTAGTGTCCATTAGTTCTTCATCGTCTTTTTTGTAGATTACCAAGGCAAAATCGATCTGTGAGTGCTTAACTGCATCAGAAGGCATTGATTTAAAATTTGAGGAGGCCTTCTGTTCATTTCTTCTCGGGCAGGTGTACTCTTCTCTTCATTTCCCTCTTCTCTGTGACATTTGCTCCACTTAGTTTTTACATTCTCTATACCAGCAGTGAGGAAACCCTGTCTCATTTTGCAGGGTGATGAAACAACAGCAACAGAAAGACTGAGGCAACTTGAATTGGATTCCAGTGCCAGTTCACAAAAGTCTCACACTGTGAAGGAATGCAGAGAAGCTTCTAGTTCTAACAAACCACTTGTATGTGTCCCTGTTATTATGAATTTATATTGTTGCGCTGCTTATAGGTCAATACCGCACCCCCCCGCCCCCACNNNNATGAAAAGAAGAAGATGGAGGAGGAGCCTAGAAAAAGAAAGAATAGAAACATTGCCTTGGTTTTGTGTTCACATGTCATGAATTTAAGTTCTAGTGTAACTATTAGGGTTCTAGTAAGTCTGATGCTTCTCACAGACTGCTGTCCTGCATTTCTAGGAAACATGGGTGAAAGAAGCTGCCCTTGGCTTATTCCCAGATACCAGAGACTGTTCCCCATCTCTGGTAAAAGCTTTTAACTATAATGCTAAATGAATTGGATTTTCTTCAACAAATGCTAAAGTCTGGTACCAATGACAGGCTGAATTCTTTATTGCTGAAAAAAGAGCTTCTGGCAAGAGGCTGAATAAAAAATCCCCACCAGCTTTATTTAACATGAGGGCCAGATCAATTGCTGGTACCATTCCACTGGATCAAAGAAATGAAGAACCATTTTCAATCACAGAATCTTCGCGACATCTTGGACCAGCTGTCAAGCAATTGGCTCCTCCTAATTTGCAAAGTCCACTAATAGAGAGCAAGGTCGTTGCCGGAACCAATGTTGTTTCACCATCTATTCAGTTGAAACGAACTTTAGGTTCAAAGCAGTGTGACGTCTGGAAAACTTGGTTGAGCTTTCGGCACGTGGTTGGAAAGATGATTTATGCTACAGCACTAGGCTGCATCTTGGTTGTTCTGTTTAAGCTAGTGAACGTGAAAATGTGGATACCACGAAATGGATCCAGATGGAGAATGGATGGACAAAGTTCTCCTGTGGGCTTCAGATACCCTGATGCAAAACTTAAGCAAAGTGGTATTTCAAGAAACATCAGGAAAGTCCTTTCGCTTCTGAAAAATCAGTCGGGAGAGCAACCAGAATCTGCAGTTCTGCAAACAGCTTCCCTATCTTCTGGTCTTTCTTCTTCAATAACGTATAAGCAGCCAATGCCTGTCGAAGATGCTGAGTCCCTTGTCAAGCAATGGCAAACAATTAAAGCAGAGGCACTTGGGCCTAATCACTATATTGTTGGGCTGGTTGATATACTAGAAGGATCAATGCTTGTTCAGGTGAGATCCATGTCATGATTGTGTTGAAGCATGTTCTATACACTTAAGCTAATTGCAGTAGTTTTATTTTGCAACTCAGCCTATTCTGGCGCGTTTTTGTTGAACTTATAATTCCATCAAAACTGGGTAACTTAATTTATTTGTACGAGCTATTAGTGTCTATTAACGTTTGGTCAATGGACATGTTGTAGTGGCAAGAATTGGCCAATGCAGCAAAGGCAAGGTCGTGCTTTTGGAGGTTTGTTCTGCTGCAGTTGACAATTCTGAACGCAAACATTTTGAAAGATGCGATTGGAAATGAAATGGCGGAGATCGAAGTTTTGTTGAAGGAAGCAGCTGAACTGGTTGGTGAATCCCAACCTAAAAACCCAACTTACTACAGGTAATCAGAAATTTTACCTTAACAACTACTTGAACATAAGCTGTGGTGTTATTTGTTGTGCTTTATGTAAGTGATTGAGAGTTTTAACGTCACAATGCTTTCATCTGACTCGTGTGAGGTCCACTACCAAGTGTGTTACAAGGAGTGCATTTTTTTTTTCCAACTCCGGACATATGCTAAAGCATGTGTGTGTGTGTGCGTGTGTTGGAATCTCCAGCTTCAATCAGTTTTCAATTTATGGCCCGCTAGATGCATGTTGCAGAATGCATCACGATTACACCACATTTTTATCTTCTGCCTTTATGCATTTAGAATATTTCTCTAAATTTCTGTCTCGTTTGTTGCAGCCCTTATAAAATTCGTTATCTTCTCAAGAGGCAAGATGATGGATCATGGAGGTTCTCTGATGGTGATATCCTAGATCCCTCGTGATCTCCGATCAAAAGCCTAATTGCCGACTTTCCTATTTACTTTTACTTGTATATGGTATTCCAAAGCTAACTACTGAGAGTTCCAATTGAAGAGTAGAAATCCATCACCATGGTTCCCCCCAATTCTCACTGCCCGTATTTGATATCCACGGGCAGCTGTTTATCTGGTAGAACTAGCTAGGATATTCCATTTATTTGTTTTTGTTTCTTACATACATCAGTATATACTAGCAGGGATGGCATTCTTTGTTATATGGCTTTACTTCCTGCAAATCTTCAGGGTATATGTGGCATTGTCTGTTAATTATCTCGGTATGTAGCACACTCAAAAGTCAATGCGATTGTTAATGGGAAGTCGATTCAACATTCCAAATTCATTATTCAATATTGATTTGTTTTGATTTGATGATACTCTAAAGTCAATTTTAACGATTTTGCTTGATGTGCGGGCACTAACCATTTTGTCCAAAGTGAATACGGAAAGGTAAAATGAGAAGCGATTTTCATTTGACAATTGCGCCTGTGATCACTTTCTTATGTTTCTTTCTGTGCCTATGATCATGTTTTTCAACCAAAAAAATAAAATAAAATAATGATAATAAAAAAAAAAAATCAGCATGTAGATCTAGCACTTTGGAATCCTTATGGTTTTTTTTTTATTAATAATGTACATCATGCCACTACTAATCGACAAAACAATTTTTTTAATATACATAGCACTAAGAATTTACAAAATATATTTTTGTATGAGACGGTTGAATCCGTCATAATATTTTAATAAAAATTTATATTGACGTTATGAACTTTCCTGTGCATTTGTACATTGCAAATAGAATATTATAAGTTACACTTATACATATAGTATTAAAATTATAAGTTATACAATGATATTATATTTTAAAATAGAATGTTATAAATTATATTTATGCATATAATAATAAAAATACAAATTAGATAATGATATTATGTTTTAAAATTTGATCATTGGTTAAAATAAATAGTACATAACTATTTGATTGCATATGAACCACTATATTAATTACATAAAATATAATAAATAATGTAATTTATCGCCAATTTATTAGCTTAAAAATATTAAATTTATTATAACATTTGATTATGCGATTTTAAGGAATTTTACTATAACATTAAAATAAATTAACTTATTTAAAAATACAATCGCTAAATAAGATAACAAAAATATAATATTAATTTGAGAATAAATAACTTTAGCAAAAAGTTTACAATAATTTTTTATGTTTATGTAACTTTCATATATCATTTAGTGTAAATTATACTTATTAGTTTTAATAATAACTATTATATGATATAATAAAATAGTATAATTATTACTCCGTTAGTATAAAGTGTAACGGTTTTTTTGTCTTCATTAACCTTAAAAAAAGTGCAATTAGATATTTTAGCATTAATTAGATATGGTGGATTAATAATAATAATAATAATAATAATAATAATAATAATAATAATAATAATAATAATAATAATAGAAGATTGTAACATAAAAAGATGGTAAATAATAATTAATATTATTAAATTTATTGTTAGTAATTAAATATAGAGAGAGATATAAATGATAAAGTTTGTAACGGTTTTTTGAGAGAAATCGAAATGAGATTTTATTAAATGGTATTAGCCAGCAATTATATATATATATAGATTTTTATTATGTTTTAATTTAAAAATATAATTATCTAATCGGTAAATCTGATCAACAACAATTTTTTTTACAGACAAATTGTGCTATCTAAGATATAATTATCTAAAAATATAATACCATGTTGATGAAATTTGAACTTTGAACCCCCACTTCTAGTAACACCCCCAAAAATTTGGCAATTCACAAATTTCCGGCCTTCCTCCTTCACCACCCCAAATTCAATACTTGAACTGTGGCCACTGACCATGTGAAGTCCCCTAGGGTTTATGACTCAAACATCGTCATCCTGAATGCCTGAATTAATCACCCCCAGCTACTAATCCAACGCCCCAAACACCGTTCTCAGATCCCATCTCCGAACGACCGATCCAATGGTGGCGGCGAAAATGGAGAAATCGCCGGCGGATCTTCTGGCATCCCCCGGGGTCAGCTCCCTGCTGAAATCGTTCAAGCTAAAAACGAAGCAGCAGGAGCTCTTGATCCGCGTCACGATCCTCGGGCTGATTTACGTGCTCGCATTCATCACGCGTTTGTTCAGCGTCTTGCGCTATGAGAGCATGATCCACGAGTTTGACCCCTACTTCAACTACCGGGTCACCCAGTATTTGACTCAGAGGGGGTTTTACGAGTTCTGGAACTGGTTTGATTCGGAAAGCTGGTACCCTCTTGGTAGGATTATTGGGGGGACTCTGTACCCTGGGCTCATGGTTACAGCTGCGTTTATCTTCTGGACTCTACGTTTTATAGGGTATACCTACAGTTCTTTCTTTTATAAGTATGCATGCGCAATTCATTATTGAAGTTTGATTCCTTTGTTATCATTATTGACGATGTTGGTTGGTATAATACTATGATCTAGAAGCTAGGAGGATTGCAACTTAATCTGGTGTTATTTCATTGAGCATAAAGGATGAAATTTGGTGCTTACTTTTATGCGGGTGCCATACAAAAATTTAAGATTAGACTATTTTAGTTTGTGTGGGATGCTGAGATCTAAAATGGTTTGTTGACATTTACAGATTCGCTGTTCACATCCGAGAAGTTTGTGTGCTCCTTGCTCCATTTTTCGCTTCCAATACTACTCTTGTTGCATACTTCTTTGGGAAACTGTTATGGGACTCCGGTGCTGGACTTGTTGCAGCTGCATTTATTGCTATTTGCCCTGGTTATATTTCGAGGTCGGTGGCGGGATCATACGACAATGAGGGTGTTGCAATATTTGCATTGCTTCTTACTTTCTATTTATTCGTCAAGGCTGTGAATACAGGCTCACTTGCCTGGGCTCTGGCCTCAGCTTTTGGGTACTTCTACATGGTTTCAGCATGGGGTGGTTATGTCTTCATTATTAATCTGATTCCATTATATGTGATGGTTCTGTTGATTACTGGTAGATACTCAATGAGGTTATATGTGGCTTATAATTCCATGTATGTTCTGGGAATGTTGCTAGCAATGCAGATTCGCTTTGTTGGCTTCCAACATGTGCAGTCTGGCGAACACATGGCAGCTATGGGTGTGTTCTTCTTGTTGCAGGTATTAGCTTTATGTTGCATTAATGATATTTCTATATCCTATTAAAATTGTAACCACTGCTTGAATCTGTGTGGTTTCTTGGTATTTTTAATGAGAACCTTGCTTTATATATTCTAATACAAAATGCTAATTCTTACTCTATAGGTAAAATTAGTGTTGGATATGAGTTGAGATAGTCGATTTAGTTTGAATCTACCTCATTGAACATGAAGAGACCAACTGTTTTTCAACAGAAGCAATCCAGGTTTATATCATATTTGCTTGTTTATGGGGATTCATCAAGGTGTAATGTGACGTAATTTACAACTACAAGTGTCATTAGAATGCGGTGTAAGCAATGGAATTTGCTCCCATGAGTGTGTCTGGACATTTCTTCCACAAGACCTTATGTGGGAGATTAGTTATATTACTTGAATTATCTTATGTACGACTTTTTTCTGACTTTGCATGAGTTCATCTCTGATTTGAAGAGCCATGAAATTTGGGATGATATTAATTGTGGGGGCGTGGACCACAAGTTGCTGTAAATTTTGAAACGTGTATATTGTATAGTAGCATAAGTAAGAGCAAATGGCTTCTGTCTTGGTCCATCTCTTATCTGAG